TGGAACGAACTTTCAAGTTGTTTAATGTTCTGTAGATATCCTATCTTGACGTTTCGTGGTTTTCCCTCGGTAATACATAAAAGATCTTCCATTCCTGTTATTGCGTAATCCACCCGACCGGAGGCTTCTTCGCCTGAAATATCTCTTTGCAGTTCTATATTGATTTCTTTATCTGTCAACCTCCGTGCAATTGCAATTGATGCATGTAATATAGAAGAAATAAATTCGCAACGCGTTGCCTCATTGGCTTCTATCATTAATTTTACATTCGTTAACCGCAGTATTATTTCGTTCATGCATTGTTCGAGGGCTTTGTCGTTATCATTGATTTCCTCAAAAACTATATAATAGAAAAAAAATGTTAGCATATATATACTTGCCAAGAAAAAATACCACATACCTGGGTTGAATTGCTTTATACTTGTTATATCCTCCCCATTGACTTTATGTTTACGGAGAACGTCCTTCAGCTCTTCTATGGTTTTATACGACGAAAAACTTCGTAATTTTGTTTCATTAAGCTCTTCAACAAATTTAGCAAGTTTTTTTGCCGGTCCAAATGCAAATCCAATATCACGGAATTCTTCTTTAGTCATATCCAAAAAAGATAAACCATCTATTTTTTGTTTACGTAAAATTGCAAAGTCATTATTATCTAATTTCAAATCTCTTCTCTGCAGATACTCGATAAGTTCCTCAGTATCGTAATCCTTAATAACATCTCCCATCGTGCGAGTTAACCTTTCTTCCGTCAAAGTAGAGGATGCAGAAACTGGTGAGGAAGGTGTTGAATCGTGAGAAGACATAATATCTTTTATATCGGTACAAGGCGTAAAAAATCTGGTTTATGCGATACGTTATGTCCTCCGGCTGAAGTGAGATAATGCAAGGAAGAGAATGAAAATTTTTTTGGACGGATCAGTGGCTTTTTATAGTATTTGATTACGCAACTCATATAGAATGGCAAGTACACGACGATCTCGGAGATTGCGGAGATTTCGACTTCCCAAGACATAAGTCCTTTGATATATGCACTAATAGAGATTGTCGGTCCGCTCCTCCTTACTGCCTTTTCGAGTCTCGTTTCGCTGATTCCTATCGTGAGGCATATTTAATATAGAAATATTTTTTAGCCTAAATACGTATAACGTAAAAAAGATTTACATGTTTCACAAACTTCTACGCTGATCCCGATTCGTCGATTTAATACGTAATGCGATACTCTCCATATCTTATATGAACCTTCTATAGCCATTATGTAGCTACCTTCGGCGAGAAAACAGGAATTAGATTAAAAAGAGCCATAAGGGGGATGGGCTTATCATTTCTCATTAGTAGCTTTATTGAGAATCATATGTTATAGGGATTTGGAATTCCCTGATCGTCATGATCCTTAACTTTTTTACTCCGCCAGTAAGATCGTATTTTACTGAAGACAATCACATTAAGTGGTTAACCGAAAAAATGACGAAAATATATTTGGTTTTGGAATAGATTTAATGGTCCTGGATAGTATAAAATACTTCGTTTTTTCCTCTTGTAAGGTGGGTACCAATAACGTTTTCTACAACTAATTCAGAGCAGTATGCCACTTTTTTAGTATACCGTTATTTAATTAAGACCATAAAACACATTTTACTTACCACTGTTTTATATTTAGGACGTAAAAATGAATAGTTCAAACGGTACCACCTTCAATATCAATTATTCTAGCAACTTATCGTTTTCCGCATCAAGAACTAGACAATGAAGCTATCCAAGACGTTCTTTATCTTGTAAGTGATGAAACATTTCATTTTTATGGTTTGAACATGACTCGAAGAGTCTGGGCTCTGCCCATAATCTTGTTATAGACGATCTTTAATAAAAATTAGATAGACAGACCTGGGGAAGAATGTCAAAACATAATTTAGAACGTGATAAGATGAATGACGATAATGATTGGTTAAATCCTGGTCAACGGGATGATATGTTGGATCAAGCATATAATTGATTCATCTTTTTTGAAACATATATTTTTTTATCTGTATGCCATCTGGTAATTTTTTAAAAAAATAAAGAGAGCCCACTATATATGTGGATTTGCACATGACATCGTTTCATGACTCTTTGAGTTTGGGCTCTGCCCATTATAACAACATATTGAAATAAATTAAATATATTTTTATTATGTATCATAGTAATGGAAAAATGTCTTACGAATTACGTGATCAGATTTCTAAGTATATAGGTTTTAGTCCTAAAGAAATTTGTCTTCCAATTACAGATGAAGATAAACAACTTTTTCAGGAATTAATATCAGATCAGAAGATGATTGATATTGTAATGGACGAGTATCGATTTTTGCTTCATCACGGACATAACTACAAGGGTGGGAAATTAATACATATAATGTGGGTATATATATGTACTGAAAAAGATGCTGAGAAAGTATTGATAGAGGCACCTTCATCAAAGATATTATCAAGAAAGGTATTAGCCTATATTGAAAAAAGATTCAAAGATTTACCTCTCGTGCCAGTGATTATAGTTGATTAGAATCTAGTATCTTGATACACATTATAGCCTGACTCTCCATAACTCGAAGTTATATTTTTTTCGTAATAATCTATGTATTAGTAAAATAGATAATTATTTTTGAAGATAACAAAAATGCTAGATATGATTTTTTCGGACCCTACTTTTAAACAATACATATATAATGATTACAATTGTATTACCAGGAAATTTCCGGTTCACCTTCAAAAATAATTACCCAAATTCAAATCGACAGAACTAACCCGACCAATTTTTTCCAAATATTGGGTAGCGATACCCGGATTTAAATACCTTATTTTAATATATAATTCGATTTCCTTGATAGTTGTATAGGTAAATTTACATTCGAAAATATCGAGCTCTTGGATCCTCGGACAAGAATAAATAACATTCCAAATCGCTATTTCAGAAAATTCTTTATGATTAGAAATATTCAGATATTCTAATTTGTGGCATGAATTTGCAATTGCATATAGATCTTTGTCAGTTATTTATCCACCATAACACCCCTTTGCCAAGTTGAGATTAAGAATCCTAATGATTCTCTTCGATTCTGTATTCGATTCTCAAGTTTATATTAAATTTAATAGGTGGGGTATACCCTACCATCATTTTTAATAGTGTTCCGAACCTCATGCGATTCTGTTCGATTCTATTCGATTCCAATTTTCGGAACCATAGTTGAGATACTTCAGATTGGAGTATGATTCTGCTATTTGATTTAACATATTATCACCAAATCCCGCACTATAATTTAAATTTAAATGAATTATATTTGGAAACAGACATATAACACCTTTGAATTTTTTATCTAAAAGTGAATAGTAGTGTGGAATTTCCAGATAGGTTACATTTAAATAATAAACTGACTTATGTTTACCATATATTATTTTCATAAATTTTTTTTGTATGTTACTTTTCTTTAGCTCAATGTGATACCATAGAATAGGAGCACTGCAGTGATATCAAAAGTAGTTGACAAATAAAGTGGGATAGAGGGATCGATCTATTTCTAAATAATATAAGATCTGTTCTAGTAATTCCAGTAAATCAAAAATATTTAGACCCTTTGGATCTTTGCTTCACAATAGTTGTACCATTCTTAAATTATATAATATATATCTTTAATCAAAAAAAAGCTAATATTTAGATAATTAATTTTAGGTGTATATACTATGAATTTTCCAGATATTTTCAATCACGCTTAACTTTGCAACCAACTCATCTAATGACAGGTCTGTTCCATATTTTCAGACTTCTAACTAGTTATAATGAGACAATCCACGAAGAAAGTATTCCTTAAGATATATTTGTTATTATTTACTCCCAATGCTATTATGATGGAGCTTATTTGAATTTTGATAATATCGATCTTTGGCTTGCTTCATAAATAATCCACCTGGTTGATAGAGCCATTTAATTATTGTGTGTTGAATTATTTTAACTGAATATATTTGTTTTTTCCATAAACAATATGTCTTTTGAATAATTAATAATGCATAGTTTTTTTTATATAATGCTAGTTGAACTTTAAAATTTCTATATTCAGGGTCATTACCTATTTGCTTATGGCTGATTAAATTATTTTTAATATGAAATACAAAATTCTCCCAATAATCTCTACTATTTATTTCATATCCTAATTTTAATAAATACTTGCATATATATTTTGGTGAATAATATTTTGCAAATCGTAACCATGCTTCTGACATTTTAATATTGTTAACAATATAATTTTTACCATATTCACTTAATTTATCTTGTACTTTGTTATAACTCATATTATATATTTGCTATTTCTAACATATCTAATATAGTTTTAACTAGTGCTTTATTAATTTCACAAGATAAAATTTCCATCCTGATGCTTTATCATAATAATATATTTAATTCTGTATTTTTTAAATTTGTATTTATAAATAAATTTAACTATTACAATGACTGAAGCTAATAATCCTGAGACAATACAAAGTGACTATAAAAAATTCAAAGCAATGTTAAAACAACATGGCGTAATTGATTCAGGTTCAGAATATCCAATTATCACTTATGAGATTGTGAAAAAATTAGATTTGAAAATAAATAAAAGTTCACCCAATATTATCAATAAAGTGGTATCTGATACTGTATTGTTAAGCAAGTATCAGGTAAAAAAATCTGGATCTCTCTTTACCGATTACTGGAGATAGTAAAACCTGAGATTCAGAAGAATATTATAAATTTGATAGTAAAACCTAATACATCTCAAAAAAATCATACACCATGCAAGGCTAAAAGAAAAAAGCAATTTTTAAATTATACCACATCTGAGTTCTCGCCTTTATCTGGGTCTGACTCTGAATCTTTTAGCTACAAAGTGAGTGAGTGACTACCTCTGGTATGATGATAAAGATTTTATTGTGGATGTGGTAAAAATAAATAAGTGTAATTAGTTGTCATTACCATAGAGTCGAAATGGTTTTGCTTCTTCAGGTTTTTGTCCCCGCTTCCTGTAATTTACTACGACATAGTTTTGTACTGGAGAAGTATAGTTGTCACAAGAATGCCGAAGTGCTTTCCCAGCAATTGTATAAGCGTAGACCATATTTTTCGCTCCATTTGTCACTACAGCATAAACTGTTCCTAATTTATGTAAATATTTAGTGATTAAATCATAATCTTTTAAGAATCTATTGAACTATTTAACTCCTGGCTTACCTGGATCACCCATTTGTTCAGATTATATAGCATGTTGAATCCAAGTGAGTAGTTCTTTGGCTCATTCTTGATTCTTTTCCATAGATCTAAATTTTCTAGGAATATCTGCTTGACCCCTGTTTTTTACATAACCTGCTACTCTGGCATCTGTAATGCGTAAAGTTTTAAGTTCAGCAGGGCAGATACAAAGCATTACCATGACATCTGTGAGGGCTTGTAAATCAGATAAAGTTTTAATATCATATGTATCTAATCTTTTTTTGATCGATTCTAATGTAAATTCATCTGAATAATCGATACATTTAGTTTCAGCCTTTTTCCGACTGACACGCTGGATTTTGTTAGCATCTTCTATAATATCTGGAAATTTCGTAACCTCAATTATCTCAAGTGATGCATTAAGGTTCCTTAATTCTCTGTGAAGACGAGTAAGATGTGATGAGCCAGCATTAGTATTTAATACCAATAAGGCTAAGGTATAAGCTTCAGCTCTTACATCTCTAATGCTAAGTTTATCTCGTAAAATCTGTTGTACCATATTTCCAATAGTTTCTTCTTTCAATCTTTTTGGAGTTTGTTTAGCTAGATCTCTAATAATTTCTTCTTTCAAATTTTTTGGAGATAAGGTTATAGCCATTTTATAGCTACTCTCAATAACATTTATGACTTTGGTTTTAACACCTCTCTGATTAGGTATCAATATACTTACCTGCTCATTGCTAAATTTAAAACTATCTCGAAGACATCTCCGTGCTTGATTTCTCCTTTCACTACCTGTAAGATTTTTGAAAAACTCAGAGCTATATTGACCAAGCTCAGATTTGCTCATATTTGAAGTAAGTTTATATTCCTTAACAATTTTTGTTGCAATTGCCAATATGATCCAATGTTATAGTAGATCAAATAGATTATGAGTAATTTTTTAGGTTATATATATTATTGAATATATTTCTATTGAAAATTTTTATATTACCTAGTTTGTAGGAGTAAAAAATCCTCCTATATCAAAGCTCCTACCTGCAAAATTTACTTATTCGCTCCTTATCGATTAAGCAATTACCATAAAATACCATTTTTCCAGAGTATATTAACCGTTTTTTTCCATTCCTTATCAGTATCCAGCCATGATGAAGTGATTCTATCTTCCTCAAGAGAACGACAAATTATTTCCTCACTTATCAACCTTTCACATACCTCCATATCCATATATTCATTGGGATTAAGGTTATCTTTTTTTGCATAACCACACATTCTCACATCCATTTCCATTCTATCCCTAAATGCTTTGAAATTGAGTTTGTCTTTTTCAGTAATAGCCACAAATTTATCGGGATCCTTTCCAAGCTCAACTGCTTTCTGCCTTAATCGTATTTCTCATTGCTCCCTAGTTTAATATTTGGATGGGTATGATATTTGCTGAGGGGATAATTCGTTACTGAGTTTGGATTCATTATTTGCATGTAAGTTGGGAGAAATCTCTGGCTCATCATTCACTGATTCAATGATCTTGGAAGTTTCAAGTTCATTGTCTACAGATTCTACATTCATGATCTTGGGAGGCAGAAATATATTGGTAGACTTTGATGACGACGCAACTGAAGATTCACCTGTTATAGAATCAAAGAGGTCTTGGGTTATGTTAGTAATGAGTGAAGCGGATGATGTTCTTTTACTTTTTTCAATGCAATTGGTGTTTGATGACTCAGATATCTTTTTTTCTGGTTTGGGAGTTATGATTTCTGAAACATCGAATACAAGAATAACTGTAAATACGTTGGTGTATGTCTCAGCTCGAGGTGAGTCTGAAAATTCCTCAATATCGATACCTGATTTGTGTAATTTAGCTACAATCTTAGAGTGATCAAGGATATATATCCATTCTCTTTTCTCACTACCAGCATGTTTGCGTTCAATATTAATCTGCGAGAATTTTTTATCAAGAACATTACTAGTGGATGGTTTTTCCCCATTACTTCCACACCAAGTAAGATAATCCTGGTATAATATAGCACAGCTTGGTTTATCAATTTGATTTTCGGACCATAGGGAAATATGATCAATTATAAATCGAATTGGAGTTAGGAGCTGTGTTAATATTGTATCTGTTTTCATTTTAGTAACCATGATTTTCCCTGGACTCCAGTTTGACAAATCACGATTAAGAAGATATGTCATCACTACTCCTGGAGTATTGGGATGGTCTAAAATTTCTCCTAATTGATCAAAATACAGTATATTATCTCTACATCGTGAAGAGACATCAAAGCAAACTATACGAGAATAACTTATATCTATTTTGAGTG